AGAAGCTCACGAGTGAGGTGTCCTTGGCCCAGAAGCATTTGAAAGAATCCCTGGACGAGGCGGACGCAGTTAGGGCCGAGGTGGAGACCTTGAAGAAGTCTGTTGAGGACTTGACTCTCCAGCTGAAGACGCATTGGGCCCCTAGCGCAGACGAGGTCGTCCGTATTGAACAAAACGCTGAGGATAGGTTGAAGAGTCACTTCTTCGAGGCGTTCGAGCTCATGGTGGACGATGGGGAGGCCGCCTATTTTCAAGAGCGCTTAACTAAGCGCCTCAACTTCGTCTGCCTCAGGGAAGAAGCTAAGAAGGCTGGACAACCTTCTCCAGAGCTGTACGCCACACCAACAACCTCAGAGGACGAGAAAATGAAGTAGCGGCCGGCCATGATGTTGAAGGAGAGAACAAAGAGGTGCCAGCTGAGGACGTTTCTCCTGCAGCTTCTCAGGATCCCGTCCCAGTCCATGATTCAGCTTCAACCCCGGCCGCTCCCTGACTTTCAGCTTTTTCTGTCTTTAAGCTCTATTTATGTATATTTTTCTTGACTTTTTCAACCGCCTTTTCGAGCAGTTTTTATGTAAGATATTTTACCGCCTTTTGAGCGGTCCTTTTATTAATTCAGCTTTCAGGTTTTGCTTCATACTTTGCAAATTTTGCACTTAATTTTTTGTATTTTCGTACGCATACTTTTTCACATTTGAGCGATTTTATGTACGCGTATTTTTGTATCTTCGTACAATTGTGGGGTATGCCCCTTTATTCGGCGTTCTCCTAGTCCATATTTTGGGTGGTTTGATTGACTTGGTAGAATTTATACCTTAAGCGGTATGACTACTAACAAGTTAATCAAATCATAATAATGATTGCCCTTGTACTAGGTGGTACGCCGAATCAACACATTAATTGGCCGTTCAATTGGCTTTATGTGAGTTTGTCCGTTGAAACTATCGCTCGGACGCACTCAGAAAATTCCAAGTATGATCTCAACTTAAAATTTTCATGTTTGGCTGGGCTGAAATGCCTAGGTATGCCCTTGCCCCATTATATGGGTTTCACAGGGTACCTTACCTTTTCCGTCCGCCTTAATTAAGGGCGGACGGATTCATATGACTTGGGATCAAGTTTGCCTATTCTTATTTTATTTAATTTACTTTGGTTCTGCGACCGAGTTGCTATGTTGCAAGCAACCTACTTGCAAATTTCACGCGGCCTATCTGTATAAGTTATGATTGTGCAAATAAGCATAAATTAAATGGAAAAATAATTATAACAATGTTTTACTTTTCATTAATTTGTCAAAATTACATTGTTGTGGCCGTATGGCTTACATTGCTTGGTCAACAGACCTAGCTGTATACACAGCTTTTGGCTAAGTACTTAAACATAATATCTCTTCAGATTGTCAGCGTTCCATGTACGCGGAATGGGTCGGCCGTTCATGGCTTCGAGACGATAAGTCCCATCTCGGACTTCTTCCCTGACTCGATACGGCCCTTCCCAATTTGGGGTCAGCTTCCCTGAGACACTCGGCGATTGTACGCCCTTGTCATCTGTAGACGATATATTTCGTGTCTAAGTGCCGCGTTGCCCCTGGCTTCAGGAAGGAAATCTAGGGCAGTCTTCATGGCTTCCCAATTGGCCGCTTCATCATATAGCATTACCCTAAGGGTGGGATTATACATTTCAATTGGAAGGACCGACTCGGCACCATAGACTAAGAAGAAGGGAGTTTCCCCTATGGAACTCTTGGTCGTGGTTCGTATGGACCACAACACATTGACTAACTCATCAGCCCATAAGCCACCTACTCTTTCAAGCTTGCGCTTAATTCCATTGGAGATCAATTAGTCATATGCCTCTACCTGAACATTTTCCTGTGGGCGGCCGACTGAGGCAAAGCAGTGAGCTATGCCTTGGTCTTCCAACACCATAGACTGAGGGACGCCAAAGCGGGTAATAATACTCTTCCATATGAAGGCGGAAACATCCGTTTATTTGATGCCCCGGACGGCCTCGGCCTCTACCCATTTTGTGAATTAGTCTACTGCTACAAACACATACCGCCTTTGGCCGGACGCTGGTGTGTATGGTCCTAAAATGTCCATCCCCCATTTGGCAAAAGGGAGCGGACTGCTGTTGGCCGAAAGACTGTTGGCGGGCCGGTGAATTAATGTTGCGAACCTCTGGCACTTGTCACACTTCTTTACCATTTCCATTGCGTCCGACTTTAAGCTCGGCCAGTAGTAACCCAGGCGGGCAACCTTTTCAGCCAAAGCTCGTCCTCCAATGTGAGAAGCACACTGCCCCTGGTGAAGATCATCCAAGACACCATGCCCTCTCTCAGGAATGATGCATTTCAGGTACGGCTTTACAAATGCCTTTTTGAACAACTCTCCTTGCTTAATTTCAAACCAGGCCGCTCTCTTTTTCATCAGCCAGCTCTCTTTAGGATCGGCCGGGAGTAATCCATCCTTTAGGTAAGATATGATCCCGTCCATCCAAGTGGAGCTTCTATCAATGGCATGTACTGTTTCAGCGTCAATACTCCTCTTTTCTTTCACTTCCCAAAACACTGACCTGGGAGTATCACATGATGCTGAGGATGCTAACTTAGATAGGGCGTCCGCCTGATGATTGGACGAACGAGGGACCTGCTGTAGAGTAAAATGATCTAGGCTCTCAGCCTCCTCTTTTACAATCTTCAAGTACTTTATCATGGCCGGCTCCCTTGCCTCGAAGTCTCCATTCACCTGGTTGACTACAAGTAGGGAGTCCGAGCATACATCAATTTTTGTCGCTCCTGCCGCATTACACATTCTAAGGCCGGCCAAGAGGTCTTCTTACTCGGCCTCATTATTAGAGGCTTAAAACTGGAATCTCAGAGCATATTCAAACTTGTCTCCCTCAGGAGACTGACATATAACACCTGCACCACAGCCAGTAGCTGTCGCACTACCATCCACGAACACTTTCCAGATTTGATCGCCAGCCGTCTGAAGATCCGGTCGATTCATTTCAGCTAAAAAATCAGCAAAGGCTTGGCCCTTAATTGCTTTTCTTGGCTCAAATGCAATGTAAAAGCCTCTCATTTCCAAGTCCCATTTAAGCATACGGCCGCTTGCCTCTAAAGTTGTAAATGGCTTCTTCAGAGGTTGGTCTGTGTAGACCACAATTGAATGTGCCAAGAAGTATGGCCGCAGCTTTTTCGATGCCATGTATAATGCCAAGCCAAACTTTTCAATAGGGGGATACCTTAGCTCGGCATTATGAAGTACGTGGATGATAAAGTAAACAGGGATCTGGCGGCCGTCCCATTCAGCAAGTAGGACGGCACTTAAGGAGTGTTCTGAGATGGTAAGATAGATAAATAGCTTCTCGCTCTTAAGTGGACTGACAAGCCGAGGCAATGTATGTAGATGGCCTTTTAACGGTACGAATGCTTCCTCGGCCTCCTCTGTCCACTCAAACATGGCTTTCTTCTTTATGGTTTGAAAGAAATAGCGGCACTTATCCCCTGATCTTGACAGAAATTTACCAAGTGCGGCCAAACAGCCGGTCAATCTTTGGACTTCTTTAATTGTCCTTGGTGACTTCATGTCCATGACAGCTTGGATTTTTTCAGGGTTGGCCTCAATTCCACGTTGATCAATTAAAAATCCGAGAAATTTACCGGACTCAACACCAAAGACACATTTCTTTGGATTTAACATCATCTTATGCCGCCTGAGTTCGGTGAATGTTTCTCGTAGATCCTTCAAGTGGTCGGCCGGCTCTTTTGACTTGACAATCATGTCATCAATGTACGCCTCCATATTCCGGCCGAGCTGATCTCTGAAGACTGTATTAACGAGTCGTTGAAAGGTAGCTGGGGCATTCTTAAGGCTGAATGGCATAACTTTGTAACAATACAACCCCTGCTCAGTCACGAACGCTGTTTTCTCCTGGTCTTCTTCCCATTATGGAATTTGACGGAATCCGGAGTATGCGTCCATAAAACTCATCAGGGCATGCCCGGCCGTCGAATCAACCAGGCGGTCAATTTTGGGCAGAGGAAAGCTATCCTTGGGGCATGCCTTGTTTAGATCGGTGTAATCCACACACATTCTCCAAGTTCCATTCGGCTTCTTCACAAGGACCACATTGGCCACCCATTATGGGTAATAACATTGCCGAATGAAACCGGCGTCCAGCAGCTTCTTGACTTCTGCTGCGGCCGCTTGGTTCCTCTCTTCTCCATGATTCCTTTTCTTCTGGCGGACAGGTTTAACGGTCGGGCTTACAGCCAATTTATGCATGGCCTGGTCAGGGCTTATACCTGACATCTCGCCAACATCAAATGCAAATACATCTTTGAACTCTCTCAATAATTGAATTAACTCATCCCCAAGCACACCCACAACTATAGTGCCTACACTAACCGTCTGACTTGGTTGATCGGGGTCGAGCACTATATCTTGGTGACTGTCGGCCGGCTGTGGTCGTAACTCTTCCGGCCGACCGACAGTCATTAGCTGCTATGCTTGCTCTATCTTGGCCGCCTTACGCTTCTGGCCGACGTGCTATGTTGGGAGTGAGGTTCCTTCTTCTTTTGGATCGGACGATTTTGGTCCGCGCGTTGTAGGCTTAACTACCAACTGATTATATTCTTTTGCCATCTTCTGACTTCCTTGGATCGTGCCTATTTTCCCGTCCGTCCTCTCAAACTTTAGCAGCATTAGGTGAGGCATAATGATTGCTTTTGCTGCATTCAGTGTAGGACGTCCGAGTATGACATTATATCTAGTCAGTTCTTTCACAACCAAGAAGCGGACAACCATATCTCTTCCTTCCCCTTTTTGCCCGAATCGGACAGGTAAGTCTATCTGTCCCACTGGGTGGATGACATTCCCCCCAAATCCAACCAACGGGTGAGTGATGTCCTGGAGAACATCCTCTGGGAAGCTTAGATTTTTCAAGGCGGCCAGGCTGATGATATCAGCCGAGCTACCCGTGTCAATTAACATTCATCCGAACTTCAAGTTGGCTATCTTCATAGTGAATACCATGGGATCATTGTGCAAGGCTTTAACCTCCCCCCGATCGGCTTCACTGATGACTACTTCGGGGAAAGGTTTGGCCTTCACTGAATCCATTTGCATTACTTTACCCAAGTTGCGGGCGTCCTGCTTGACCCCCCTCATAGTGGGACCACCTGAAGCAAATCCTCCTGATATCACAGCAACAAAAGCTGAGTCAGTGTTGTTGCCGTCATCTTTCTTGTTTTTGTTCTTATCATTCTTCTGTCTTTGATCGGACGTGTTGTTTGTCCGTGTGTGAGTGAATTTTGACTTCATCACATACGAATTCAGCATGCCCTTCTCGGCCAGCTTGTCCAGCAGTCTCTTCAAGTTAATGCAATCGTTCGTGTCATGTCCCACATCCTTGTGGTAATGACAATACTTGTTCTTGTTCCTATACTGAGTCGGGCCTCTCAGCGGCTGTGGCTTCTCAAATTCAAACTTATCCTTGATTTCCATCAGGATAGAATAGCAATCCTTGTTGAATTCAAACTGAGGCTCGTACGCCTTGACCTTCTTGGACTTCTGTGACTGGGCGTCAGCCACCCAGACTTCCTTTCTCTTTTTTCCTTCTTTCTTTTGGCCGGTCGAGTCTTGTTGAGGAGATTTTTTATCAGCCCCCTTGGTCGGCGCTTCTGTTTTTGTGAGCGAACAAAAGTCCGTCGCCTCAATGTAAGCTTCGGCTTCCCGCAGAACACCTACGTATGTCCGAATATTTTTCCTTACCAAGTCAAATTTAAAACCATTGTGCCTTAATCCCCGGAGAAATTCAGAGTAAGCCATTTCGTCCGGCAGATTATGAATTTGGGCTTTTTCTTGGTTAAATCGCTGGACGTACGAGCGTAAGCCCTCATTTTTTCCTTGGACGATTGTCGCCAAGTTAAGACTAGTCTTTTGAGGCTGTATATTGTATGAAAAATTTCCCACGAACAGCAAACTAAGAGTAGTAAAACAATTGATACATCCGGTCGGCAAACTGTTGAACCAATCCTGCGCCACACCTTTCAGACTGGCCGGGAAACATTTGCACCAATTAGCATCATCTACACTTTGCAAGTACATCAGGTTCCTGTACGAGGTGATGTGCTCTTATGGGTTGCCCGTGCCATCATAGGCTCCCACAAGTACACTCTTCACCTTTGGTGGCTGAGAGGCATTTAAGATATCTTGCGAAAACGGGGGCGGCTTATCTCCCAGAGTAAGTAGGCGCATCTGCCAATCGATGGGTTGCGGTTGCACGGACGGTCCAGCCAGATAGGGAGCCTGTCCGTACACCTGCCCGTATGGCCCATATTGTCCATATGCCTGGGGGTTCAGCTGCATCAAGCCATTGAACCCCTAAGGAGGCTGATATTGCAGTGATTGGGCTATAATGGGAGTTGGAGCATTAAAGACTGTAATAGGAGTTGGGGTACGGACCGCCTGACTTCCGCTGGTGATGGTCGTGTTGGTATGTTGGGAAAGAGAATGATGTGAGAAATCATCCGGCATAGTTGGGGTTGAAGCCGTGTCTGAGTAGGCGGCGCGCTCCCGCTGCTTATGCCGAAGGTAATCTCTTGCGTCCTTCCATCGTCTGGACGGCTCAGGCTCCTCTCTTCAAGGTTGTCTACCCCTCCCCCCAGCCGACTGCGTTTTCATCAGCAAGTCAGAGAAATTAGTCCGTGGCACCCTCGGGGACCTTCCAATCGGCCTTCGAAAATGAGTGTTTCCAGCGTTCATTGCATGGACCGCTTTGCTGTGCGTCTTCTTTGGAGCCCTCTGCTCCTCTCTCCTAGGCGGTTGCCTAGAGGTAGAGGCTCCATTGTTTTCAATCTCTTTTCTGAGTTTGTTAAGGGCGGCCTTAAGAGAGGTTGCGGTAACAAGAGGGTCATCAGCTTCTTGAAATGTGACTATCAGAGGATCACTAGTACGGATTGTAGGGATTAAATCCTCTACATGTCCATCCTCACCTGGATTAGGTGTCTGACCGTCTATCGCCATAGCGTACGAGTATCCCCACAGACGGCGCCAAATGTTTCGGGTGTTTTTTGGATTTCCTCGGATACTGGTCACGCTCTCCTGGCAACGAAACGGTCCCACCTACAAAACAACGAATATTCCGATCAATGGAATATTCGCCTCCGACGATCAAGTCAGTGATCAGAACGGAAAAGGCTAGAAAGAGAAAGTAGAGAGAAGGTGGAGCTATTTAATGCTCTGTTGTTTGTAAATGTCTTAATCCCCTCCCATCATAAATGATTAGGGTATTTATAGGGGTGGGACTCGTGCCCCTCTCTAGGGTTTATACCCTAGATTTGCGTGATGTGATTGGTTGTGCAATCAGTGAATGCCACGTGCTACTCTGGGGGCGCCGTTTTGCGGCTTTCATTGTTATCTCTCGGGATTTGGGCCCTGACGTTGCTAGGGTTTTCTAGCATGTTGATTATTAAGGGAACAAATGTCCTTAACACATAACATCTTCTCGTGACGACACTTGTCACCCTCTGACTGGGCCACGTGTCGCGACGAGACTGGCCTGCGGCTTTAAGGGCTCTGAATTACGTGGCATCTTCCCGTGATGACACGTGTCACCCTATAACTGGGCCACGTGTCACTATGGGATTGGTCCATGTATACGGGGTATTTTTACCCACCACATTTACCATGGTCCCTTATATCCTCCGGGAGTCCCGTTGGGTTGGTTGAACCACCCAATTTGTCTTTAAACGACAATTTTACCAATTTGCTACTTGCACCGATTTCATTAACTCAAGCCTACAACGAACATTTATGACGACATATAATGATCATATATGGTTCCAAACGACATTATATGACCCCGAGATGTATTCTCTAGAATTTCAAGACTTTTCGACACCAAGCCCCGAATTCTTCAAAATTTCGCAAAATGCGTGGATATTAGTCTTCAATTTTGGAATTTTGGACTTTTTTCTCTCAGAAATAAAATTGCCAAAATGTTAACCATGGTCCCTGTCACGGGAAAATTTTATGACTAAACTTTTTTTTTTAAGTTAGAGACCAAGGAGATTCCCGTGATGGCACCTAGACCATGTCTAGACTAGCCTAACTCTTAAGCAACAAAGAATAAATGCACACAAGTAAGAGACAAGCACCAATGACTTAAACACTTTATTATTTTTGTGGCTTACTAATTACTAGGATTTTCTCTCTCTAGAATCTCTCTCTAGAGCTCCCCAAAATCGATGCCAAGCGAATGAATGCCTTGGCCTATTTATAGGTACTGACTACAGCCCATTTAGATAGGATAACTAGCCACTATGCCCACTACACCCATGATTTAATAACTAACCACTACCTGGATGCTTACTTGGAAGTATCTAGACTTATCCACGTACTCAAGGAAGTTATCCACGTTCAGAATGCCCTTGTAACTTCTTGGTAACCGCCACATCCCACTATGCCATGTTCCTATATTTTAGGAGACATACAGCGGTTATGCATATGTGGCGCGCAATCGCCTGATCAAAGAAACCGCCCACTCCCTTAGTGCTCCTATTTCCTAGGGCCACTAAGTGAGTGGTGTAACTTCCACATGACGTGGCACTAACTTCTCAGAATAACTGCCCACGTTTATGGCTACACCCCACTAATTTGGTGTTTCTATTTTATAGGAACCGTCCTCATAGTGGCTTAACCGCGTTCTCGTCTGACCATAGTCACAAGCATAGTCAACATAATCGTTAGTCAACCAACTAACATCATGGTTCCTATATTTTAGATACCATAATTAGCCACGTGCCAACTCAGCATAATCGTCCCGTCAATTTAGGGAGAGTGGTGCTACACAGGAGGTTCCTTCAACCGCCCCCTTAGCCCCACTACTCAGCCAATCACTATATTCAAGGCAACCTCATGCCACCACGATGACTAAGCATAACCATCAAGGAGTGCCTACTATAAACAACCCACAAAGGAAGGCTTTAGTTAGACCAATCATCAATCTAGGACCTTTCCTCAACATCCAGCACCTGGCCACGCAAGCCCATGGTTCCCCCGAAGGACCCATGGTCACCGTTAGCACGGTCTGCACTTGTTCATCCATACCGGAGCCACTATGGTCTCCACTATAGTAGTGGATCATTGAGACAACTTTACATGATCCCAAGAGCATCCCTTAGCCAAACCACGCACCATTAGCTAGCATGCCCGTACTAAGTCCCAAGCCCTTGTTAGTCACCCCGCACCTGCCCTGGTTGGGACCACCGAGTCAGTTTATCCTATCGAGGTGTCCACAATAGTCATCTAAGTCTGTTATAGTCCCCATAGACCATCCTATGTCCAAGTATATGCCCAAGGCCCCTTGAGTCAACCCCTGACCTTTGAGTGAGCACTCGCCCCTTAAAGAGCTTTATTTTGATTAAGCCATGAAATACTAGTGAACACCCAACTGACAATAACACAATAATGGGCTCTCAAGCCCGATCCTTGAACCCAAACTTGGCCCTATGGCCATGTATGATCTAATAGGGTGCTAATAAATTCCCTCAATAATTATCAAAGGTTGTTATGGAGTTTTTCTCATCCAAACACTCTGAGGATCTTTAAGTGTGTGCGTGCGCGCGTGCTACCCATAGGCCCAAGGCCTAGCTGACCAATGTTTTGCTAGCACCATGGTCTAAGCACTTGGTGGGTTATCCCTGATAACCTCACAAGACTTAGACATGGTAGTGAGCAACTCTAGCCTCACATGGCTCATTCTTCCCGAATCGAGCACGCACTTACTCGCGTAGGCAAGAGGGATCCCGAAGTGCTTGCACGCCCATGCGGGGTGGTCGACGGCCTTGCATAGGTTAACCCAAAAATGACCGTGACAATCCCTAATACCCTCCGAGAGTCCAATTAGGTGGGAGGAACCATCCAACTTGCCTTTAAGCGGCCAATTTACAAGTTTACAACTTCTTCGATTTCATTAACTCAAGTCTACCACGACCATTTATGACAACATATAATGATCATATATGGTTCCAAACAACATTATATGACCCGAGATGTATCCCTTAAAATCTCAAGACTTTTCGGCACCGGGCCTCGAAACCTCTAAAATTTCTCAAAAAGCGTGGATATTAGATTCAGTTTTGAAAATTTTTGACTTTTTTTGCCCGTAAATAAAAATTGCCGAAATTTTTACCATATTCCCTAATACTTTACGGGAGTCCAATTGGGCGGGTGAAACCATCCAATTTGCCTTTAAACAGACAATTTACCGGTTTATAAGTTGCACCGATTTCATTAATTCAAGTCTACCACGACCATTTATGACCACAAATAATTTTCATATATGGTTCCAAACGACATTATATGACCCCAAAATTTATTCTCTAAAATTTAAAAAAATTTCGACACCGGGCCCCGAAACCACAAAATTTCTTAACAGCGTGGATATTAGACTTTAATTTTGGAATTTTTTAACTTTTTTCGCCCACAAATAAAAATTGCCGAAATGTTTACCATGGTCCCTAATACCCTATGGGAGTCCAATTGGGTGGGTGGAACCACCCAATTTGCCTTTAAACGGTCAATTTACCGGTTTACAACATGCACCGATTTCATTCATTCAAGCCTACCACGAACATTTATGACAACATATAATGATCATATATGGTTCCAAATGAAATTATATGACCCCGAGATGTATCCCCTAAAATATCAAGCCTTTTTGACACCGGACCCCGAAACCTCCAAAATTTCTCAAAAAGCGAGGATATTAGCCTTTAATTTTGGAATTTTTTGACTTTTTTTGCCCAGAAATAAAAATTGTCAAA